GTGTTGAGGCTGAGGTGTCCGGTCTGCTCCGACACCCGCATGGAGCTCCTCTTCTGCCTTCCCAGCCTGCTCCGGTCGCCCGGCGAGAGACCGCGGACCAGGTGGCGCCGCTCCCGCGGAGACTGAAACCCCCCCCCGGAGGCGAAAACGGTAATCCTGGACGGGGCAGAGGCTGCCTGTGTGGAGTCTGCACGTTCTCCCTGGGTTTGTGTGGGCGTCCCCCCCACCCCAGTCCAAAAGCACGCTGGTGGGTTTGTGGTCTTCTGGGAGAAAACCAGGCCAGGCGGCGTTGTGGGTGTGTGTGTGGGTGTGTGTGTGCGCCCGCGTCCTGTCTCCCGGCGCCTGGGGGCTTGCTGGGATAGGCTCCGGCTCTGACTGGGAACCCCCATACTCTGTGCACGGGGTTGTCTAAACTCTCTGGTCACACCGCGTCCAAAACTTTTAAGAGCCAGGAAGGTGCCCCACAAGCGGACAAGCACAGCCCCCCCACTAGCAGGATCTGCAAAGCCGCAAAACAGCTCGGTGTTTCTTGTTTGGGGGGGGTGATCTCCGTTAAACGCGTCCGAAGAGGTCGCGGTGGCGCCTCCGACCTGTGTGAGGTCCGTTTTCCTGGGGGTGTTTTGTTAAATATTATTTTTCGCATTTGTAAGCACTTACACACACAAAAAAAATATTATTTTTCAGCGCGTCGCAAAGCGACGACAAATGCCGTTGGCGGGCGGGCGGCGCAAGGCGCGTTTAGGAAAAAAAAGAGTGTGACGTCCTTTATTTATTTATTTTTCTTTCTTTCTTTTCTTTCTCCTCCGCGCTTGGCAAGATCTGAGATTGTGAAAATGAGCCGTATCTTTCGAGGTTTTTTTGGGGGGCGGGGGGTTACTTGGAACTGAAAAACAACCAACCAACCAACCAACCAGACCGATTGTGATTTTTAACCAGGCAGACCAGCCAAGCCAAGCCGGTAAAATAGAGTAAAAGGCAGTGAAAGGCGAAAAGAGGATGTGGGAGACCCGCCTCTTCCTCATTTTCGCTCCGAGTTGTGTGAATGTGTGCCACAGTCGTGAGAAAAGGGGCCTCTGCTTCTGCTTCTCTCAACGTCACCGCTGCCTCGAGTTTTGAGTTCCGTGCCGCTGAAAAACCGGTCCAAAAAAAAAAAACTCGGGAGGTTTATTTTTTAAGTTAATTCGGCCAGCAGCCAGATCGCCCTGCAACTCACAACTGGCAGCCCCCCCACCCCA